GAAAATTACTGCCCCTTGATAAGATTTACGGTTCGACTACAAGTGGTGGGGTTGACGTCCTGTCGATGACTGGCCAGGGTTATATGGATAACTCCTACGAGGACGTATATTCCTCGTGCTTCGAATCCGGAATGTCAACGCACCGAAGAACTACAACAGCAAATAACTCTTGAAAAAGGCCCACATGGAACACAGCGACCGTGTTCCAAACATCGAATTCCATATTTTCAGCTACAAAAGAATAACTTGATTACATACACTTTCGCATAACTGGCAACCACTAGAGAGCATAATCAATATAAACTGTCGTATCAACTTAGGGCCAGACGAACTCTCGTTCCTGATTGAGGTATTGAGGGACAGAGAAGAATGTCCAACTGTACCGACAATCAGGCCATTTTCGTTCCTCAAGCTAGCAAGCTCATACTCTGTGCGAAGTCTCGAACGTCCCAAAATAGTAATACTGAGAGGTTTCAGGAATATTAACCTTGTCCTGGTATTTACCATTGCCGAAAGTAGTCATAAAGTAAAGGAAATTCTTCAAACATACCCGTTTTTAACTTGAAAAATCTATTTGCCAAACATATGTCTTCATCAATTCGTCTTCGGGCCGGCAAAACTGCGCGGATAATGAAAATAGTACAGTTGGAAAGGATTAGTAAGTGTCTTATGATTAAAAATCATTATTTTCACGCCGCCCGCATGGCTAGATCAGCATGTAGAGGTCACTGCGCTAGGAGGGGGGAGGGGGAGCGATTAGAGTAGGTTGTGACTTTTGGTCATGGGTCGACTACGTGAAATACGAATTACTGTCGCTTGCACGAAGTGTGCAACTGTCACCAGGGTACGGAGGTGACATGCTATCGCCACCTGGCGTCAGCATTGGCCACGGAAGTGATAGTGCCTGTATTCGTATCTTCTGACAGCATAACACTAGATTTGTTAACCGGCGGCGGCGCGAAAACGACGAACTGTAATCATAGGACACCTATTAATCCTATCTAACTGTACTATTTCCACTATCCACGCAATTGTACCGGCCTGGTGATAAATTGCCGGAAACATATGTTTGCCAAGTAGACTGCTTAAGTAAAGTTCACTGTAAAGTGGCAGGAACCAGGTCGAGCACTTAAAGTGCACGCATTTGCATGATTATGCACACAGGCAGGATCGGTTGGGCATCGACTGCAGGCATGGCAGAAAGCCCGCTTTTTTTCGGCTAAAGTCAGAGGGAAACAGATTTCGAAGATGACGGCAACAACAACAACAAATAGGAAATCCACGAAGTGCAAACTCACCGCAGAGGCCCAAGACAGAATTCTGGTGGAAGCGAGACAGAGGAGGAGGGCGTTGACGAGGCCACTGGTGATGACCTCGTAGGCCGTCAATGCCTCCTCGCCACCCTCGCTCAGGAGGGCAGCGATGCGACGGAAGATGTCCTCCAGCTGGGCTGTCACAGACTCAATGCTCCCAGTGCCGGGCAAAGCTAGACGTGTAATCTCAGTGGCAAAGTCGCGCAACACGCAGAGACGATCGTGCGGCGCTG